AAAAAATGCGAGCTCCGCTTTTAGGTTTGCTTAAATCTATATATTACTGTCATTCCCAATGACGAAGGTCTCCGGGCCCTCAAAATTTTTTTCGATCATTGCCCTGTTAAGGGAACCTAGCTCTGAAACACTACTTCGTTTGGCCGAACTAATACTTACACTCAATTGCTTTTCATTCGGTGGTAACTACTACAAACAAAATAATGGCGTGCCATGGGTCCTAAAATTGGACCCAGCTACGCAAATCTTTTCGTAGGTTTTAGCGAACATTAATTTTTTAGACAATACCGCGGCCCAAAACCTCTACGGCCGTTACATTGACGACTGCATCGGCGCTAACTCCTCTACCAGAAAGGAGCTCACTCAATTTATAACCGCCGTCAATTCCTTTCATCCGGCTCTTAAATATACCAGGGAAATTTCCGACACTTCTTTGGCTTTTTTAGACATCAAAATTTCAACTGGAGGCAACTGTTTATGCACTAGTGTTTACTACAAACCTTTAGATTCATATAGTTACTTACTGTATTCATCTTTACACCCACCACACCTCAAGAACTCCATACCTTTTTCAAAGTTTCTCAGACTCCGTCGTCTATTTAGTGACGACACTGATTTTTCCGAAAAATCAGAGGCAATGTGCCAGTTTTTCGATAAATGTGGCTATCCTGTTTCTGTCGTTCAAGCGGGCCACCACCGTGCCCAACAAATTAATCGACAGTCAGCACTACAAACGGCCGAGAATGAGAACGCTGACCACATTCTATTCACTCTTACATTTCACCCTCACAACCATGCGGTTAAATCTATCATTCTTAACAACTTTGAATTACTCCAAATCGATTCAGAGACTGGCACTATCTTTTTCCCAACTTATTTTATTCAAACGTGACAAAAACATAGGCAACTTTTTGGTCAGAAGTTCATTTCAAACCAACGTAAAGAGAGGTCGGTAATGATCGTTATTTAGGCCTTAACGAACATAGACTTTCCAGAAATCGCCAGGGAATAATCCAAAGAATTCTCCACCATTACTTGTATTGTAGTCGTCGCATTCCCATCTAGAGCTTTTAGGTGTCTGCAGTAGCCAGTGAAAACCTGCATAGACAAATGCAACTACTTTGTATCTGCAACTCCCACTTGGATTATGATCACCCCACTTTTGGTCTTTCCATTGCTGGCAATTTTGTGCTAACATCGAGTTGTCATCCTTCATCCTCACAAACGAGCCACAGGAATTTGGTCGGGAGTTTGTCTGACCGCTGAAGAAGTTGATTACAGCTTCACCGTTGCTGTTAGGCGCCGTGGTCACGTGAAACGTACGTCCTTTTTGTTTACTGCAGTGGAATCTCAGCTGAGTGAAGGACAAGTGTGCTCTCAGTTCCCTTGTTGCTTCTAGGCTGAGAAACATCGTCTTTCTGTGGCAGTTGTTGATATCGCGGTATGATGACTTTATCGAAAACTGTTGTGAGGGTGAGTTTTCAAACACAACATTGGAAACAAGAAGCCAACCTCCTAGAAAAAATACATAATAAAATCACATAACCAACAACAACCTGAGCTGACACAAGGCTAACACTCCATGAGTTGTTCTTGATAACTATTTTATAGAATATCATCAGTTTTGTGATTAAAAAAAACCATATCTTAATTTCTTTCTCCTTTGTCTTTGTATACATATCCATGTCTTACCTTCGTCAGTTGTCATGTCACAGAAGACCTTTAGAGGCTTTCCGTTCTTCTCAGGGTCGATCCAGTACTCGCCATCTCCAGTGGAATCTCCTAAGTCCCGGATGTCTTTGCAGGAATGACCAGGCTGATTGTAACTGAAGCCTTTGATAACTGCAGAGGGAAATGCAGTGTTTCTTATTGGGTGGCAAAATTAATTCACAATACACAAATTACCAAACTTCCAAACATAAATTTTGGCAGGCGGAAACGGCGAGTTCTTTTCCCTGACCCTAACTTTTAATTTTTCTGCAGCATTCAGGGTAAAATACTTGAAGATAGGTCTTTTCATTTGATTGCCTGATGTCAGCGCGCGCTAAAAGCTGTTTTATTCCCCATCCGCGCAAAATCAGTGTCAAAAACGCCTTCGTTTATAAATATCTTCTCATTGTCACAGTGCCCTGTTTGATTCGGATTCCAACAATTTTAAAGTGAGAGAGGAAGATCTAACGACGAGTTTCCATAAACATCACATCCAGGCATTTAACAAGTCTCAAAGTGAGATGACGTCTGCTTTCCGTCAGGAGCTTCACAATTCTCCGTAATTATCATTTGAAAGTCTCATTAACACATTCTAGGGAAGAACCAAATTCTTGAGTCAAGTCCCAACAGGATTTGTAAAATACAACTATAGGCATAGGACTTTGGAAAATGATATCAACTTCAAAGTCCACATTTTCGGTGATGTGTTGTATGCAAATTCTAAAAAAAAAAATTTTCGTTGACTTAATTTTGCTCGGCGCAAAAGCACTGAGTACATAATATATTTCATGATTTTTTTGTTTATTATCTATAAAACAAAGCGTCTATGGGGGATTCATAGTGGTGTTTTTAATTAAGCAATCAAACTTTTTTCCAATTAACACCGCAATACCCCCTGCTGTGTGAATGAAAAAATTATTAAACGCTTTGAAAGCATGGTTTAAATAATAACTTCACATTGATTCAAGGAACTTAAAACTTTTAAACGAAACTGCAACCGGACTTGTGGCTGAACAAGGTAAATTTGTTGTGTGGTGATGGGGAAGCAAAATGCCGGTTTAAAAAACTGCGTTTGCGAGTTTAAAAATGTCTTAGAGTGTGCTGCTTGGAATCGGCTAGGATTTTTAAATTTAAACTTTTTTTCCAAGTTGGCCGAACCATTTCTCTTCCAGATCTCGTTAGTAATTCTCCTTACTGCCTGCCATAAAAATTCTTATGGTATTAGTTCGGAGAATACGGAATTGGATCAAATAATATTCCCCCCGTAGAAATTTTTCTTTATTCCCATCACTTGTCTGCTTGATATTGTATTGATATTGTATGGAGAAGTTTTGTCTTGGTCGGGGATTTGAATTACCAGGGACCTTACCTTAAACTGGTTTTTGTAGAATGTTTTGACACTTACGTGTTTGACACTTTTTTCCCTTGTATCCCGGATGACACTGACAACTTTCATTTTGTCCATTCCGTTGGTGGGAACCATTGATACAAGAGACCTACGATAAGAACATAAGACCTGGGTAAAACTTTCCATTTTTGGTTTGTTGAATGAGAAGGCAAAGCTGGCTTTCTCTTTCTGAGAAAAGTTTAAACTGTGAGAGTAGATTTTATTTACAAAGCCGACTTCCAGCTAGATCTAAAACCTTGAGTAACGCGGGTTCTTACAAAAAAGACATGGCTTCAATATCTGTTTTATATGAATCCTTTTATTTGAACATCGAGGGTAAAATCAGTGACTCCCACTTGTCAAGAATATGCGATGATCGTATCTAGCCCGAAGCTGATCAATTGCACCCAAAGGAAACATCTTATATCGAGCTTCCTTGTCATTGTTTCAATAGAATATAGCAGATCAGGTAGGTATAGTCCACTTTTAAAGTTTAATTCGAAGTGTTCATTAAGAATGTTATCCTTTTTTATGGTTAACTCTGAAGCTGAAACTGAATTTCAATTTAGCAAATGAATCTTTCAGTCGTTGTTCGCCGTGAACATCAATAAAAACAATTACCCGTGAACTTATCTACTGACCTGGACAGAGCCAAAATATGTAAATCCTTTCATCGGCTTCAAATCATTCGTCTTAATCTGCCGTGTTTGTTTGTTCAGCTCACAAAGTCGAGTTTTGTTTCTGTCAATAGGATGAAGATTAATCGACTTGCAACTGTCATTTCCCATGCATTTCAACTGACATTGAAATTCGTCTTTAACAGGAGTCGTTTCCATGACGTGACCGACCAAGGTATAGTCTGAAAAGAAGTGTTTTTTACGTAAATGTCCTAACAAGGAGGCATGCGGATCAGTTGTTTTAATTCTAATTCGAGCTTTCACCTACCAACTTGAGTCTCGAAAACACTTCCACAAAAATCATTATTAGCTAAGACAAACAGGATTCTTAAGAGGATGTGAACAGCCACAACAAAAAACTTGGTCAGCCATAACACAGCCATCGTAAAACAGATTCTCTTAACGCCGTTCTATTTTGAGCCGGGAGCTTCTCGCTTATCATGTACACATACAAATCAGTTCCTCGGAATTTGCCGTTCCGCGCCGTTTGGGCTTTTCCAATTGCTTTGAAACCAGATCGAGAAAAACACATCTATAATTTATAGCTTAATTCTAAAGCTTTGAACTAAAGGGCATTTAATGATAATTCTACGTGACATGAGAAGGCAAAGGTGTGTGATTTAATAAAAAAAATCTTTAATTGGGAGCTGTTGTTGACGGTAATTTTTGTCGGATTGTCCTCACACTAAAGCACTTTTGATGAATTTTCCTCACAATAATGAACTTCTTAATTACTTCTTTTGGAACCGCAGTTCATTACTTGCTTGGAATTATTCTGATTGCCCCCAAGAAACTATCGTTGTTATAATAATAATTGCATTGTTCACGATAATATCTGACAGCATCCCCAGTTAGGAGACTAGTGATGCGCCAGATGCTAATCCAAACAAACATTCAATGCCACATACAATTAGTAACAGTAAATTGATATGGAAAAGAATATTTGATGTTTGATAGTGAGTTTGTTGTGACAGTCGCTGATCTCTTGGTAAGACGACTCAATCAAAAATTGTTTCGTCAATGGGTCGTCCACGACAAAGTTTTAGACAAGAAGACAACCTCCAGTAAAAAGAGTTGATTTAAAAAATTACGCAACTAAACGAAGGAAACATAATACTTGTACCCTAAGTATTACACCTAATATATGATTGCTTGTGTAGTCTTAAATGCATTGAAAACAATTTTACGTAATTTTATTTACGTCTTACCTCCATCAGTTGTCATGTCACAGTAGACCTTTAGAGGTTTTCCGTTGTTCTCGAGGTCGATCCAGTACTCTCCGTCTTTTTTAAAGAAACTTGAGTTCCGAATATCCTTACGGGAATGGCCAGGCTGATTGTAGTATAAGGCTCTGATAGCTACACAAAGAAATGCAGTGTTATCTCTATGTGGGCTTCCTAGATTTTTTAGCATGTTCCGGACTTCAGACGGTTTTTATAATGAAATATCTTACTGAACAAAAAATAGTTTATAGAGTTTTATGATACCGTCAAATACTTTTGCCGACCTTTTGGAAAAAAAAAACAGCGTTTAGCACTTACAGAATTCGCGCAGTTATTATTCCTTATTTCATGTTGTCAGGTCGCACTTATTAGTAACAGAGAAACTGTATGAAAGACGCATTTTGCGGAAAATTATATTATGCGAAGGTATTTACGCGCATAGAAGCGTGCATATTCGCTACGCAATCGCTCCCTTTATTTTCCGTAGAAAAAGTTATGGTTAAAACAAATCTTCCAGTTTTGAAAAATCGTAGTTTACAGAATTTTAATTTTTAAAGAAAACCGACCCCGACAGAGCCATAGTATATAAATCCTTTGTTGTGTTTGAAATCGCCTTTTGTTGTCCAAATCACAAATTCTGTTCCCATTGCTGTCACTGGGATGAACATTGACCAACTTACAGCTGTTATTTCCCACATGCATTTCAACTGACATTGAGGTTCTTCAATGACAGCAGTCATTTCCATAACATGACCGACTAAAGCAAAGTCTCAAAGGCAAAAACTCGAAGTTTAGTCTTGTTCAATACAATGGGGCCAGTAAGCGAGGGCTAAATGCATTTGATTGGCTTACTGACCAACATGAGTCTTAAAAACCCTTCCACAAAAGTTTGTTATTTGCCAGGATAATGAGATTTCCTTTGAATAATATTAGCAATAACAGGCTGGCTAAGCCATTCAAAAGCCATTGTTTTGGTTAAAAAATCGTTTTTTACGATTCTTGTATTTCAGTCTTAAAGGAACCTCTTTAATCTAGATTTCAGAATAAATTTAGTCAATTATTGATGAGTTATCCTCAACTTGAAGTCAATGCTTTAACGGAATTTGCGGCAATTCTATGTCATTTTCTTTGAGGAAAAAAGTCTACTTAAAAGACAGAAAAATCAGCGAATAATGAATGGAAGTATTCTCTCAAGATTGCGTGAAGCTTATGCCAAATCATTGCGTTTAAGGTTAAAAATTAAAACAGTAAAGCTGACCGGCATCCAACTGAATGGATTCTTTTGAGTTAATACAATTAGCTTTTCGTAATCGAATGAAATCTAAATTCAAGATAAATACAATTAATAATCGATGACCCATCCTTACATTACAATTATTGCTTACCAACCCCTTGTCGTTAACTTTAATATAATAAGTTAAAAACAAGTCAAAAGACTATTAAAAGTAGATGAAAGAGTTCTTTCAAGATGATGTGATGCTAAGGCAAAATACTACGTTTGAAGCTGAAATTGTCCATAGCAAAGCCGTCCGGTATCTATCTGGATGGATTCTTTTGGGCTAACACAATTGAGCTTCATCATCATCAACTTATTCTTTGTAGTTGCTTCAGTATTATCTGACACTAACTACTGTGGAGAGGTTTTTGAAAATCAAATCGGTAAGTAAACAATGTAGGGGCCAAAAGTTCAACGCTTTAAGGATCTCTTTGACACCAAACGTATCTTACTCCTTCAGACCATGCTTTACTGGGTCACGTCATAAGCAAAACTGTTGTTGTAGACGACTTTGAATGTCAGCTGAAATGTATGGGGAGTGATAGTTGCAAGTCGTGCAATATTCATCCAAGAGACGGTTACGTAGGCCGAATTTGCGAGCTGAACAACAAAACCAGGCAGATGAAGCCACGTGATTTTCAACTGAGGAAAGGATCAAACTACTATGGCTACACACGGGTCAGTTTCAAAGATTTTGTATTTCAGTTTATTCATTGTATCGCCTCGTTTCGTATTATTAGGAAATATTTTTTTGTGAATGATTAGATTTAGATTTCTATCTATGCAAATTAAATTTTTAGATAGTCCTCTACATCTCCTCTCCCGTTGATCGAGTAGGAAGAGTGCTGCGTGACGAGATCCAGTGATGGTTGTGAAGTCGAATAATATATGAGTCCGCCGATCGCTGTAATCAACTGGCCTAACAATCAACTCTTTGCGTGAAATAGTGAAAACGCATGAAGCTTCATTGTCTTATTAAAGATCTGTGAAGCCTCTTTGCTTTATTATTTGCTCTTAGTCGTAAGCTCCCTCGATCGTCACTCTGCTTGTAAAACAGACAATCAGAAAGAAACAAGAAATTATGTTTCCATGGTAATGCCGTGAAAATTAAGGAAGAATTTTGTAACAGGTCTTTTAATTTTACCTAGGCCTCCTGCATGGATGTTCCCTCTAAAAGGAATGAACAAAGTGAGAAAGGTCATTGTCACCCGGGATACCGAGGAACACGCTGTCAATTCCGTGAGTGATAACATCCCTTGATTTTCTTCTCATAGATATGGACTGGCCCCGATATTTAAACCCTTAAAATCTCTTTCTCTGGAAAATAAATGCATGAAAAAGCAATAGAAAAAGAGGAAAGAGAAGAAAGGAAGATTTGATGAAATTTTATGGTTCGTATACGTTGGTTTATGACATAGGAGAGGGCATTATTTTCTGTCATTTCAAAATTTGTTCTATTGTCCCTAGTTGCTATGATGCAAAGTTTACATCCCCATTTTGCCGAGCAATCATATGGCGACTTAATTAATGACAGTGCGATTAGCTTTTATTTCAATGCACGTTCTATTTTCCTCAATAGGTAAAATAGGTTTGCGTTCGCAACCTGCAAACTCCTGTAAGGACATTCGGGACTCAGGAAACTCAAGAGGAGACGGGGAGTACTGGATCGACCCTGAGAAGACTGGAAACCCTTTGAGAGTCTTTTGTGACATGACAACTGACGAAGGTTAAAAAATTATTTAAACAGTGTACGAGCTTGTGTAGAGTAAGGTTGACCGCTTCTCTGGAAATGTTTTGTCATTGCTTATAAAAAATGTTAAAGGTGCCACAATTTGCCATGGCGAATCTCTATTCCTCAGTTCTGAGTAGTTTACAGGTCATGGTGTGTTGGCTCATACACCATGAAAGTCGTAGATATATTTCTTCGCAGACTAAGCCAAGTATTTTTTCCATGTTTCTGGCAGATTTAGAGGTATTTCTTTGGGCGCTATAATTATAGAACAATTATTTTTTTCGAACTTGTTATTTAAAGAATTTTGGCTCACGCGTTGACGATATTCAGCCGCTGGATACCTTAAATGCACTTACCTTAAATACGTAGGTTACCTACAGACTTGGACAAAAAGGTTTTAGAAAATGCATACAGTATATGTTTTATCATATCCCGCCACATTCGGCTGCGACTGTTTTCTTTCCATATAAGAGATCAGTGTTAACAAAAGGTGATACAAGCTAAATGTAATTTTTTTCCAGGAGGCTGGCTTCTTGTGTCAAATTTTGTAATCGGCAACCCATCCTTCCCACAAGTGAAGCTTGAGACTTCGTACCATGGAATCAGCAGCTGCCTTGAAAACAATACATTTCTGAGGAAAACAGCCGTAGAAGAACTGATGACACATATGCCTTTCACTCAGCTGAGATTCCATTGTAGCAAAGTGCGGGGACGTACGTTTCACGTGACCACGGCTGCTAACAGCTCAGGTGAAGCGGTAGTCCAGTACCTCAGTGGTCAGACGAATGACGAGCCCGACTCCTGTGGGTCGTTTGTGAGAATGGAAGATGACAACTCCAAATTGGCAGAAATGTGTGACCAATGGAGAGGTGGTAAAGGAGTAGGAGCTCCATTGGGTAAATGGGGAGAAGACTCATTATATGATCACACTGTCTTTGTGTCTTTCTCAGGACACTGGTTGTTACAAACGGGAAGATTTGAATGTGATGACTTCAATCGTGGGGAAAAGTTTGTTCAATTGTCGTCAGGCGATTTTTGGAAGGTTTTTGTGCGTTAGTCTCTCACATATGTAAATACTATGACTACTTATCGCCAGGCAAAATGGTTCATAATCTATGTAATCACTCAGGGAGAACTAGTAGATGAGAAAGCCTATCAAACTACGGAAATGTTTCTTGATCAAAGAAAAGAGTTTTTACGATTTTTTTGTATCTCACTGAATACAAAAATAGTTTCATTTAATGCGATGTGTGA